TCTCCTACGAACCTGGATATTTCTGAAAAACGGATCCGCTTGTGAGTACCCAAAGATGGAGTGCGAAGCCTTAAGGGACCAAGTTACCACCACGCTGTGCAAGCTAAGTTGGGATCAACTAATGGAGGTGTGTAACTTTCTTGATGTCTACCATGACGAGGAAAGGGAGACTATCAACGGCAACAGTTGGCGAGAGTTAAGGAAACTGATCGAAGACAAATTGGATGAACGTGAGCAAAGCCACAAATCGGATGATGGGCAGTTTATTCATGAACTTTTGTCGTTTATCGAAGAAAGGCTGTCGAAAGGCGATGCTCACGAGTGGCGCTGTTTTTCCCGCCCCACGCCTGCGGCCCCCCAATACGACGAGTTGCGGGAAGAAATACAAGCGTTACAAGAAAAACTCAAAATGGTGGACGCCCCATCTGCCTGGGCACAAAGTCAGCCACCAGAAAAAATACCTGAGGTGACTATCCGAAGGGAGTTTCGCATCAGTGGCCAAATAGGCGAAGGCGGGCAGCGCGACAGGCTGTCATACACCAACTTGCTCCACCAAATGGAAGTTGGACTTCGTAAAGGTCACAGTGAATCAGAGGTGATCGAAGCAGTTATCAGAGCCATCTGCCCAGGGCTCAAACTGCGAGACATGCTTGAACTAAAGACTGATGTAACACTCTCTCAGTTAAAAACAATATTGAAAGGACATTACAGAGAAGACGACACATCTGACTTGTATCAGAAACTGATAAAAATTCCCCAGGACCCAAAAGAGTCCCTGCAGGAATTTCTCTTCAGGGCAATCGAGCTTAAAGATCGGCTTCTGTATGCATCCAGAAGAGAACCAGCCGAACACTACAACAAAGATCTGGTCAAAAGGAAGTTTTTGAGGTCAGTGAGCACAGGACGACTGAACGACAATATTAGATTCCAGATTAAACCGCTTCTCGACAGTTCTGATGTGGCTGACGAATTACTGATTGAGAGACTGAATGAAGCAGCGAGCCTCGAAGCAGAGCGGGTGAACAAGCAAAAGAGAAACACCGCCAAGTTGCCAAGAATCAACGAGATGCATACCACAGAGGGGCCACATGATGGAACGCAGACCCCATCCCAGAGTACCGCCGTAGCCAAGGAGAAACTCAAGACGGCTCCAGCTCCTCCTGAAGTCCATGCCCTGGTAGCAGAACTAAAAACTGAAGTTGCGGCGATGAAGCAGATGGTGCTTGCCTCCTTGAACACCAGTAAGTTCCAGCCCCTCGGGAAACCAGCGGGCAACGACATCACCCGGCGGAGGAGAGGATGCAGGACCTGCCGGGACAGCGGCGAGGGAGACAGCTGTACCCACTGCTTCAAGTGTGGCCAGTCGGGTCACATCTCTAGAGGATGCCGAGCTCCACGTTTGCTGCAGGGAAACGACAGAGGGCCACTGCCACGGGACCAGCAGTGACCCAGCGACCTCAGCACGAGTCCCGCTACTGCCATCACTGTCGACTCAAAGAACAAGGAGATGCGCCACTCCAGGCTTGTGCAGGCTGTTCATCTGCCACGTACTGTTCCAAAGCCTGCCAGACACGACACTGGCCGGAACACAAACTCACCTGCACAGCGGTAAGACTGGTTGAACACCATTTGAGTGAGAAGGACGAAAAGGAGTGGTCATCGCACATTGGTAGTCTTGATACCTTATCAAATAAGCAA